TGTGGCACACTTAAATTACATTGATAAAAAAAGTTTAAAAAAATACTGTGCTTTGAACTTCTTTCAAAAATAATTTAATTAATTGCCTTTCAAGATTTTCATGGCATCCCTAAGATCCTCTCTCACAGGACACTACTGTGCCGCAGTGCCACACAGCACACCAGTTGAAAGTCACTGTCTTAAATGATCAAGTTTTTTGGTTGTTTGGTTATGCAGTAAAAGCTACCTAATACAAAGGTAAGGTTTCTTTATTCTATCATTTATTTCAAGGGCCCTACTGCTAGTCAAATGCCACAGGGAGCTTATTCTCACACAGTCTTTCCATAGCTTCAAAAACGAAAAAAGCTTCTATCCCCAGACCAGGCTGGTCTAATCCAGGTTAACATGAGTCCTACTTTTCCTTTTATTGAGCCAGAGTCTCACTTTTTCACCCTCAGTAGAGTGCTGTTACATCATAGCTCACAGCAACTTCAAACTCTTGGGCTCAAGTGATTCTCTTGCCTCAGCCTCCCTAGTATCTAGGACTATAGGAGCCCACCATGAGGCCCAGCTATTTTTTTGTTAGTTTGTTTAGCAGGCGCAGGCTGGGTTCAAACCCACCTGCCCCCATGACTGGAGCCCTAGCCACTAAGCTAGGGGCACCCCCAGTCCTACTTTTCTATCTAAGTAGAGGGAATACTTGATCATGATAGAATATTCATAAGAATCCACAGAAAACTCTAGAAATGTGCTGCCCAATTTGCATGCCATTAGCCATGCGTGAAGTATGAAAAGGGCCACGTGTTGAAATAATACTTCCAGACAGAGTGAAGTAAATATATTATTAAAATGAATTTCACCTGTTTTATTTTACCTTCTTAATGTGGCTGCTAGAAAATTTAAAATTTGTGTGAAATATGTTAATTTACACATAATGCTCTAGAAGACATCTCATAGGTTGTTTTGTTACACAGAAAACTAATGTACTGAAATTGGAGTATGGGCTTTCCTAACTAGAAATCTGTACTTAAATTAGAAACCACATAGGTGGTGGTGGTGGGGGCTTGAGGCATTAAGGCTCCATGTGGCCTTCTAGATCCTTGAGTGTGGTCTTTTGACTGAATCCAAAGTATACAGAACAAATCTTGTTTTTTTTTTTTGCAGTTTTTGGCCTGGGCTGGGTTTGAACCCTCCACCTCCAGTATATGGGGCTAGCACCCTACTCTTTGAGCTACAGGTGCCGCCCCAGAACAAATCTTTTTAAAAAGTACTACCAAAGTTTAGTACTTCACTGTATAATGCCTTACACTATCTGCTTTACAACTATATGTTGTTGCTTCTATAATCAAAGGTTCTGTCTTATATTTCTATACTGCTCCATAGCTCCCAACACAAGACTGGGGAATAGAAGAGTTAACCACTAAACTGATACTCTAATTAAAAATGAAAGTATAAGGGCAAGGTCAGCTTTAGACAACAGAGTTACTGTTTATTTCTCTCTTCATATTAAGTCTTCTAAATACAACTCCTCATAACTCTAAAAGATCTTAGTATATATATAAAATACATGATACTTCAAAATGCACAGCAAGAGAAAAAGACAAAAATGCTTAAAAGATAACTTACTTGATCACTGAGAAGAGAGTCCTAAAAAGCTGAATAAAAATTTCATTGCAATCTTCCAAGTCAAAGCAGATGTTATACGATTTAACCCAAGCTAAATTCTTAAATAAATAAAGATAATCATTTAATTACACATAGTTATACAAAAGCGAACTCATTAGTAAAACTTAATTTTTAGAATTAGAAATCTATAATAAAACCCAGAAAAACAAAATATGTAAAATTACAAATGTTAAGTCAATCATGTACTCTGACATTTAAAAATATACACACATGGGCTCAGCACCTGTAGTACAGTGGTTACAGCACCAGCCACAAGCATGGAGGGTGGTGGGTTTGACCCAGTCTGGGCCAGCTAAACAACAATGACAACTGCAACCAAAAATAGCTGGGCATTGTGGTGGGCACCTGTAGTCCCAGCTACTTGGGAGGTTGAGGCAAGAGAATCACTTAAGCCCAAGAGTTTGAGGTTGCTGTGAGCTATGAAGCCATAGCACTCTACCAAGGGTAAGGTGGTAAGACTCTGTCTCAAAAAAAAAAAAAAAATATATATATATGTATACACACACACACACACACGACAGCATCAATTCTCAAATTGAAAAACACTAAATATTTTTGTGTTGGTAAAAAATTTTAGGAGCAGCGAAAATCTGGTTTTTGATTAGAAAAGAATAAAAATAGATGAAATTGTAAGCTAAAGTTTCAAAGCAGGGTGTCCAAGCTTTTTTTTCTGTGCCCTACATTGGAAGAGAAAGAGTTGTCTTGGGCCACACATTAAATACACAAACACTAACAAAAACTAACTAGCCAAAAAAAAAAAAAAAAAAAAGTCCATGCATAACATTTTGTGATATCCAACACTACAGATAAATAAAAGTCCTCACAAAATCACCATGCTGGTTGGACACCTCTGATGTACAGCTTTTTTTCCAGTAGAATATACTTTATCTTTCAAGGATATGAAGAACAATAAAAAGTCTGTATTTTCCTTATGATGCATAAAATACATTTATTTACTGAATGGGCTCTGTGTAAAACCCCAAAAGACCCATTTTACATAATAAAGTTATGAACAATTCACTACTACATAAAATAATGTGACATTTATTAAAGTTTTTTACCTCTAATAAATAAAAGTATCTATTAAACTGTGGACTCTTTGTATCCTCCAAACCTTTTAATTGTCTGGTAATAAACAAAAATATGTCCTGTTAAAAAAAAAAGACAAAATACATGAATTTAGAAACAAATACTTCTCTTTCACAATCTATTAATAGTCTGTACATATAATACCTGTTAAAAAATTACAATAAAAGAAAATTCTCCTTTAGCTAAATACCTTGGAACTGGCCTAGTTCATTATTTTAAAATAACTAAAGAATAAATCATATAAAACTACATTCTCTACAAGTAAAAATAAAAATGGTTATTTCTATAAATCTTTAGGCTTTATCATTTTGAGAGGACAACAGGTTCTGTATCTTACCACCTTTTCTACTACTACAGGGCCTCAACTTCCTATCACCACCTTGCATCACAGCAAACAAATATTTTCATTTTAAAGAGCTGGATGTCAGAGTTTCCACTACCACTGCCTACAAAGAAACAGTAATGCTTAGCAAGTAGTTCTGAAATTGATGTGTGACGACAAGTTGTATAGAACAAAGGCAATAGACTAGTCCAAGGTTTGCATTTTTCAAGATGATAGTAATCCTTAACTTAATAAACTTATTGAGAAGTTTTAACTCAAAATAGAATCCATATGGTACAAAATTATTTTTGGACTATTTTAAAGAAAGCAGTCCAAAAATTTGCCAACAGAATTACTCAAAACATGAAATCACCTGAGATCAATTTAAAAGAGTTCTTTAAACATTTGAACAAAGAACCACCAAAGTGAGCATATAGTTTTGCATGTTGAATAATACGCAAATTCTGGTATACTGCTGTTTTATCCCTTCAACATAGCCATCTGGTCTTTGTCACAGATTCTCCAGAAAGTCAGATATGAGCAGACAGGGCACAGTTTAGATTTACACCTTCCCATGCCTCTAAAAATAAGTCACTTACGGAAATACTAAATAAATATTGACTGAATGATTAGTTTGCAATTTATGATATAATCTTAAGATGACAATAGTAAGAAATCTATGTTGATAAAGGTAAACTAAACTACAAAAGCAAAATGATTCTGTAAAGACTGTACTTACCTTAAGTTTATCATGAGACGTATATGGAGCTTCTGGGGCATAGATTCGAAAGATGTCAGCCAAACAACATGCTACAAGAAGACGCACATCTTTATTGGGGTTCCTGAGGAAGAATTCAGAAGCAAGATGCAAGGCTAATGGCAGATACTGCTGTTTTTCATCTTCTGAGTCCTGATCCATATCCATAAATGTTTTCACTACCATCTGTAAAAGCGCATAAAAAACAATACAATCAACCCCTGGTATTTAGAATCAGTGGAGGATGTTCTGTTTTCTTTAAATCATCTCCATTACAACACAAATTGCCAAATCGGTTACTATCAGAGGGTTTACAACAAATTGTTTTAAAATCTTCACATAAGAATTTGGGAAAAGGCTTGGTGCCCATAGTACAATGGTTATGTTGCCAGCCACAACCAATGAGGCTGCCAGGTTTGAACCCAGCCTGGGCCAGCTAAACAATGATGATTGCAACAAAAATATAACCAGGCATTGTGGTGGCCTCCTGTAATGCCAGCTACTTGGAAGGCTGTGGCAAGAAATCGCTTAAGCCCAGGAGTTTGAGGTTGATGTGAGCTGTGATGCCATTGCACTCTACATAGGATGACATAGTGAGACTCTGTCTCAAATTAAAAAAAAAAAATAATTTGGGAAAAGATCACAAGCATGAAATGACTATTACCAAAGCAAACCATCAGCAAGTATCAACTGTTGCATCATTCATATGCATGTTATCCTCATCAGCATCTGACTTATGAAGAGTCTAAGCTGGGTACAGTGGCTCATACCTATGATCCTAGCCCTTTGAGATGTTGAGGGTAGGGAGAATCCCTTGAACCCAGGAGTTCTAGAGCAGTTTGGGCAACACAGTGAGGCCCTATTTCTATAAAAAAGTAAGAAAAATTAGATGGGTGTGGTGTTGTACACCTGTAGCCCTAACGCTGAGGCAGAAGGATTGCCTGAGTCTAAGAGTTGGAGATTGCAGTGTTTTTTTCTTTTGATACAGAGCCTCAAGCTGTCACTCTGGGTAGAGTGCTGTGGCATCAAAGCTCACAGCAACCTCCAACTCCTGGGCTCAAGTGAGTCTCCAGCCTCCACCTCCCAAGTAGCTGGGACCACAGGCACCTGCCACAACGCCCGGCTATTTTTTGGTTGCAGCCATCATTGTTGTTTGGTGGGCTCAGGCTGGATTCGAACCCGTCACCTTAGGTGTATATGGCTGGCGCCTTAGCCACTTGAGCCATAGGCACCAAGCCAGAGACTGCAGTGAGTTAAGGTCACACCATGCACTCCAGCCTTAAGAACAGAGACCCTGCCTCAAAAAGCGGGGGCAGGGCGGGAGAGAAATGATGAGAGGGAGAAAAGAAAGAAAAAGAAAGAATTTAAGACTCTTTCATTATTTAACACATGTCTCAGTAAAAGGTTCCTCCTGGCCCCAATGAACAACCAAATTCACTTGATATTTGGCAACATCGCTGATTATACTGATTATATTTTGATTATATTTTATTATAAAAGCTACCTTGTGTAGGCCTCTTAAAACTGCTATTTCATTTCAAATTTCAATGGGTTTTACACTTCACAGTAAAAAACCATGTTTAAATATTTTTATGTAGTACTTTTGATTAAAAGCTTTAATTATAAATAACCCCTATTATTTATGGTTATAAAAGTAACAAATTCTTATTTTAGAATTCCTATAAAATATAAAGGAGAAAAAAATGAAAGAAAAAATCCACAATTTCTTAGCCTTAGAAAATAACCACTGTTTACATTTTTATATACTTTATGCTAGCCTGTGTTGTCTGTAAATATGCAAATAACTATATTTGTATTAATTTCCTCATACCTTGAAAATTTGTCTCTAATTATAAATCATAGTTTACTTAACCTGTCAGTATTGTCAAATACTAAAGTTGTACTTCTGTTTCTATTCTGCCAAGACATTTCATCATGAATGTGTTAAATTTTACCATATTTGGGGGGGGGCACCTATTGAAATGATCATGTTTTTCCCTACATCTGTTAATATAAAATCCTACTGGCTGATTTTCTAACTTTAATCCAAGTTTGCATTCATAAAGGCCAAATGTAATAATCTTAGTCCAAGTTAGCAATCCTAACATAAAACCAATTTAGTTATAAAACTTATGTATTTCTGTATTTGTTTTTTTACTATATTGCTTTAATTTTGTGCAATTACATATATAAAACAAACTGCCTTGTAATTTCTTAAGACAATCTTGTCAGATTTTAGTACTAAAGTTATACTGGCTTTAAAAAATTGAAACATGGGCAGCGCCTGTGGCTCAGTGGGCAGGGGGGCCAGCCCCACATACCGAAGGTAGGGGGTTCAAACCCGGTGGTGGCCTGTAGTCCCAGCTACTCGGGAGGCTGAGGCAAGAGAATTGCTTAGGCCCAAGAGTTGGAGGTTGCTGTGAGCTGTGATGCCATAGCACTCTACGAGGGCAACATAATAAAACTGTCTCAAAAAAACATACAAAAGAGAAAACAATTCCAAACGCTGGTTATTGAAAAGAGTAATAAAACTGACAGATCTCTAGCAAGAAGAAATCAAGAAAAGACACAGAAGTGACAAATTACCAGCATCAGGAATAAAAAAAGTGAACATATAATTATACATGCAAATAATAATAATATAGTGAGATAAAAGAAAACGAATCTGGAATTAGAAACATTTCCAGGCTCAGCACCTGTGGCTCAAGTGGCTAAGGCGCCAGCCATATACACCTAAGGTGGCAGGTTCGAACTCAGCCCAGGCTGGCCAAACAACAATAATGGCTGCAACCAAAAATAGCCGGGCATTGTGGTGGGCGCCTGTGGTCTCAGCTACTTGGGAGGCTGAGGCAGGAGACTCGCTTGAGCCCAGGAGTTGGAGGTTGCTGTGAGCTGTGATGTCATAGCACTCTACCCAGGG